AAGAGATGATGGACACATCGCAAGAAGAAAGGGGATTAGCAATGACTGCAATATCTGATGGTACTTTAATTTTAATGTTAGTTATTTGTTTGTTTGTTTCTAGGAGATCTAGAGAAAGCAGTAGTCCATGTTACAAATGCAATATTAAACAATCCAAACTCGGCACTTCTTTATGCCAAAAGAGCAAGGTTCAGTGTACATGATACTAAATTGGTCTATTCATTTTGTTTAGTATCTATGTTAAACTCAAGAAACCGAATGCTGCCATTAGAGACTGTACTGAAGCGATTAGGATGAACCCTGACTCCGCCCAGGGCTACAAATGGAGGGGAAAGGCTCACACGTAAGCTAGACCTGGAGCTGGTAATGGATCCAATGGTGAGTGTCTCGTTGATATATTGCAGGCTATTGGGTCACTGGGAAGATGCAGCCAGGGACCTTCAAACTGCCTGTAAACTGGACTATGATGATGAAGCCAATGAAATGCTTAAAGCTGTCAAACCTAAAGTTAGTATACTGACCAGTATATTATTGGATATTATTGGATATTATTAGGCTGAAAGGATCAGAGAACACAAGTTGAAGTATGAAAGAAAAAAAAGAGAAAAAGACATTGAAGAGAGAAAGAGACGCATGTAAGCAACTGTGTTATGTTTATTTATTTGTTTGTTTGTTTTTTTGTTTGTTTTATAGTCAAGAAGCTCGTGACCAAGAAAGAAAACAAAAGGTAGTGAATTGTTTTTCATTAGTAATTCTATTAATTTAATTTTAGGAAGAACAAGAGAAACAAGAAAGAGAGAGATTTGCTAGAATGGGAGGAATGCCAGGAATGGGTGGAATGCCAGGAATGGGTGGAATGCCAGGAATGGGTGGAATGCCTTTCGGTGGAATGGGAGGAATGGGTGGGATGCCAGGAATGGGAGGTGGTATGTTAACAATATTATAATTATGACAATAGTTTATTATTATTACTAGGTGGTGGTGGTCCTGACTTGGGTAGTCTGTTTCAAGATCCTGAACTATTAGAAATGATGCAAGTGAGACCCTCATACCAACAGTAGCAGCTGCTCATTGAACAACTTGTCTTTATAACAGGATCCTGAAGTCCAGACTGCATTCATGGACATACAGAGGAACCCAGCCAACATCACCAAGTATCAATCCAATCCAAAAATACAAAAAGTAATGGAGAAGATATCAAATAAAGTTGGAGGAACGGGAGGTGCCCCTCCAGGGGCAGGGGGAGGTTCCCCCTTTGGAAGCACTCCTCCCGGAGGAATGGGAGGCTCCTCTCCTGCTGCCGGGGGTGACAGTATGGGACTAGATTAAACTGATAGTTGCCATGGCAATGACAGCGTGTAACATTATTGTGTTGATTAAAACAAATTTAATTATCCTTTATTAATTAATGTTAATTAATGATTCATTTTTGTTCTTTGTCTTGGTAAAGTGAATGTAACACACTAAAAATGAATTAATAGCAATCAATGATAACAATCAGTGATTATAATCACTGATAATGGGACAGTATCTAACTGCTCTGATGTGTGTGTTCCTTAATATGGTAATTACCATTTGGTCTAGTATGTCCATCAGTTTTTCTCTTGATATGTTAATTTGTTTATTTTTTAATTTACTGTGAATAAATGACAGCTCCAATGGCTATAAATATACTAGAATATACTAGAATATCTGGTAATTCAGATACCTTATATTTCAGTATATCTTGATACATCTCAGTGTCACTAACAATAGCATCTCTAACACACTGTTGATCATTCATCAATCAATCAATCATTATTATTATTAATATATTACTTTACGATCAATTTCACTTTTATTTCCTGTACTTTTGGACTCATCAACAATATATCCTTCTTCATCTGCAACAACAACATACCATATAAGGTATTATATATACCACCTTATATACCATATAAGGTACAATATTATGCTTACCGACCAGTGGGTGGTTATAGGTGTATATTTGCTCCAGAAGTTGAATCATTTTCTTCTTTGGCAGAGCTCGTACACCAAACTTGGAGCAAGCACTCTACAGTAGGGACACAACATAACACTGGTAGAGCAGCTGCATGTTGAATTTTCTGTAAAATACTAAAATTGTTGTTATTTATTGTTAAACTGCAGCAAATTTACCATTGAGCATAATTTGCATAATGTTAAATTATTTTTCTACATTTTAAAAGTTTTTCCAAAATTGTGCCAAAGTCCCTGTACTATAGTACAGGGACTTTGGCCAAATTTCATCAAAAATGAAAGGTAGAAAAATTTCAATTTTTATTACATTTCCTGATACATGTACTTATGTTGTGTAGGAAGTTTGAACTGATTTAATCTGATTCCAATCAAAATTGGATTTTTTAACAAATTTTTAAAGACCTGATGTACTATTAATTATATACTAATTAATTACTTTCAAATGAGGTGTGGCCATTGCTCTATAGTCCGGCATTGGAGTTATGTTATCGTCAGATTGAAGGACACTCCTCCTTTCACCAGCTGGGGTTATCAGCATTGCCCCATAACCACACCCACTAGGAGTGTCAATAACTGATTGGGCTTTAATTGGAATATCATGTGACATACACGTGCACTCTTCATCAGAGGACGTGGGTACTGAAGAGGAACATCCCATTTCCCCTTCTAGTGGGGAGGGCATTGCTGGAATGTGTTCAGGCGATATAGTGGGAGTGGTCAATGATGAAGAAGTGGGTGTGGTTATTAATATCTTCAATAAATCAGGTACCTCCCACCTATTAATAATAAGACTAATGACAAGGTCACTCTCACTCACTCACAGTTCTGATAGAGTGATCAGTTCCTGTTTGATTTCAGCTGATACTTCACCTCCAGGTATAGCAGCTGCATACATGAACCTCATGAAGATATTAACAGATTCAAAACTGAAAGAAGAACAATCAATGGACAGATTATCAGGAGATAGACTAGATAATACCTAACAGAATAATAATAATAATGATCAATGATGATAATAATAATAATAATAATGATCAATGATGATAATAATAATAATAATAATGATCAATGATGATAATAATAATAATAACTCACTCTGGCCATTGCAGGTGATCGTACAGACAGTATTGATGAGTGTCCATTGATTCTCCTACCATTGGATACCTTTATAACAACATCAGAATACACTGAACTTGTTAAAAGATTATTTAAATCGGTTTTTAATCTTTTTGTTGGACTAAGATCATCATCAATCCTCATTAAAGGTACATCAACCTCTGTTTTCATTCCAATTGAATTTGGTACCGGTGAGTTTGGTATTGGTGAGTTTGGTACCAGTGAATTTGGTACCGGTGAGATTGGTACAGGTGAGTTTGGTACTGGTGAGTTTGGTACCAGTGAGTTTGGTACTGGTGAGTTTAGTGCCAATGTAGCAAGGCATGGATCAGAATGACATATGCAGCATTTGGACTCATTAACCTTTAAATTTAAAATTATTTAAAACTCAATAATTTATTCTGACTAACCTCACTTCCATCAATAAAGTCCTTTAGTCCTGGCACATTAAACACTGAAGGAGGTTCCTCAGGACCAGATGCTGAAAGAACCCAAAGTGTTTTATAACCTGAGAACTCACTGGACCCGTGGGACTGACCATCAGTGGGACACTGGAGGGACAGCTGGTCCGCTAGAGGTACATCATCCTTATCCTTTGATCCAACAGCAGCTGCTGGTGACTGACAAGTAAACAGCTCCTCCAGTCGTGTAGCTATTACTTCATTTTGAATACTACTCGTTAATAAGGTGGGCGGAGATCTCAGTTCACCTTTCTTATGACGTGATTTTGATTTAATATTGTAGGATTGGCCAATAGGTGGAGCTACATATAAAGAAAAAACAAAACAAAACAATTGTTACAGTTAAACAGTTCAAACTTTCTACACAACATAAGTACATGTATATGCATCAGAAAATGTAATGAAACCGAGAAATTTCATACTTGTCAATTTTGGTGAAATTTGGCCAAAATCCCTGTACTATAGTACAGGGACTTTTGTCCGATTTTGGAGCAACTTTAAAAAATCATAAAAAATCCAAACTTGATCGGAATCAGTTCAAACTTTCTATGCAACATAAGTACATGTATATGCATCAGAAAATGTAATAAAATTGACGAATTTTCTACTTGTCAATTTTTATGAAATTTGACAAAAATCCCTATACTATAGTACAGGGACTTTTGTCCGATTTTGGAGCAACTTTAAAAAATCATAAAAAATTTAAACTTGATTGGAATCCCCTCAAACTTTCTACACAACATAAGTACATGTATATGCATCAGAAAATGTAATAAAATTGAGGAATTTTCTACTTGTCAATTTTGGTCAAATTTCACAAAAATCCCTGTACTATAGTACAGGGACTTTTGTCCGATTTTGGAGCAACTTTAAAAATCATAAAAAATCCAAACTTGATCGGAATCAGTTCAAACTTTCTATGCAACATAAGTACATGTGTGTGTGTATGTTGACATAAACTAAGTACCACTCACATATCTCAGAGGAAGACAAAGCCATTGCTAATTGAAGCTGTTCACTCTCAATCACTTTAAGAGCCTCATCACTATAATAATAATAATTATTATTATTATTAATATTATACTAAATTTCTTACTTTTCTTTTCCTTTGGTCTTCTTCAGTTTCTTTATGTTAATTGTTGGGATTTTAAAATCATCGCCATCATCATCAACAATGTGTTCCATCTTTATCTTCTTAATGTTCACTGTATCTCCTTCACTGTCCCACTGTCCTTTAGACCAAACTTCATAATCACTATCAATCTTTGGTTGTGCTACTGTCTCCTGGGGCTCCTGCTCCTTCTTAAGCTTCGAAGGATTTCTTCTTTTAAGTGAGAGTTTGTGCTTTTTGGGCCCATGACGACTGTCCATGATTTAATATTTATATATAATTAATTAGAACATGGAAAGTACAGGTGTTAATTAATGACAGTTGCTATTGTTTGTCTTTTTCTCTCTTAATCTCAGCTGCTACTCTTGTTTTAAACTCTGAAGCTGCTAGTCTGCTTGCTTCAGCTTGTCTCTCTCTCTCCTCCAGGACTTCAGGAGTCAAAATGACCCTCTTCCTCAAGCTGTAGGCCCCAATGAGAATAACTAGGACTGAACCAAAGGACACTGGATAGAGGAAACGCCTCCAGTTAGACATTAATACCAAACAAGAAGGCTTCTAATTTAAATTCTAATAATTGTATTCCTGCAAAATAAAAATGGCTCCCAATGGCAAATGGGCGGATTTCTTATGGGTGGGTCTTGTTGTCATGGCAACAGTATCATAGCAACCCTAATGAGATGCATGCAGTGGTTGTGGTCCGAGGCGGTCCTGTGTTTTGATTGGTCAGTTGTGTATGGAGCGATGGCCTTATGTCGACTGCTCGTCCAGTGAATAGATAAGAAGAGAGAGACCATTGATAGGGAGACATGACTGACCATCACGCCACATTAGGAGTCAAGAGAGAGAATACCTTCACTAGCAATAGCTGCAGCCTCCAATCCTTTGGCTGTCCCTCTCCTACTGATAAAAGGTCACCTTTCCTTCTCTTAGACCCTCCAGTTAGTACCCCAGCCACTGGGAGGGAAGGATTTGATATCGACATGGACCTGGCAAAGTTCCTGGGGGACCCCGACATGACAACACCAAGTGAGAACCTTTTGAGAGGATATCATGTCTACAATGATAATAATAATGATAACATGATACGATACATGTACTGGTTTGATTCAAGTGTTTTAAGTTACTCAAAAATTAGATAAAAGACCTTGTACTACAGTACATGGTCTTTTATCAAAATGACTAGGAAAGGATTCTATGATTTAAAGTGTTCTTTATCCCTCCAGCTACCACATGCAGTTCCAATGGGATGGACGGATCGGAATGGAACACCCTCTTCACTGAGACTGACCTGGAGGGACTGGATGTGTTGGATCCGAGCACTGGTGCCCCGGCCGGAGGAGGAGGGTCTAATGGACTAACGGATCATCCTAGCTTTGTACCTGGACTGACTCCTGTCACCAGCTCTGGGTTTAATGGCGGCCATGTTGAACTACAACAAAACAATAATAATGTGACTGACTCCAACTGGCTTATTGAACAAAGTCAAAAACTTGAAAGACAACAGCAACTTCAACAACAGAAACTACTGGAACTGGAACAGGTAACATTTTATTTATTCATTCATTCATTTATTTATTTATTATAATTATTTCAGACATTATTAAGGACAGAGATACTAAAGAATAGGCTTGAGATTGTTAGTAACTTGAAGCATGCCTCCCCAGAGCTCCAGTCCCAGCTCATTGGTGTACTCTCCACCCGTTCCTCCTCCATTGGGGGCGTGTCTACCACACACACTCAGCAGTCCTTGACCACGCCCACCAGTGTAGCACCAAGACTAGTGTCTCGTCCACAGACCAGTGTACCAGCGCCAGTAGTCCCTCGTTCTACTTCCCAAGTCGTTGCTCCAACTTCATTGCCATCACCTCCTGACTCTGAGCTTGATGACTTCACTGAGTATGGTCCTGGGGGTGTGGTCAAGAAGAAGAGCCACAACCTCATTGAGAAGAAGTATCGTACCAGCATCAACGACAGGATAGGGACATTGAGGGATATTGTCTCCAAACACTTCAGAGATGATAAGAAAGTAATTCATTATTATTATTATTATTATTATTATTATTATTATTATTATTATTATTATTGTTATTATCTTGTGTGTGTAGGTTCAAAAGTCGGCAGTTCTACAAAAGACAATTGATTACATTCGTTATCTTGAGAACTCCAACAGGAAACTGCTTGAAGAGAACAGAGCATTAAAAACACAGTTAATGAAACAAGGTGAGAATTAATAATAATAATAATAATATAAATCTTTATAATAATTAACAGGAAGCCAGTCAGTACTAACGAATGGTCTAAGCTCCAATCATTCTCCTTTGTCATGGAGTGATCCTTCTGATGATGGACACCCTTCATCACCTGATGTCTTCCTTAGTGTGAGTATTTATTTATCTATTAATTAATTTGTTTATTTATTTATTTATTTTATTATGTAGGACACTAGTCCAACAGCCAGCCCGCCCCTCCCCTTGTCCCCTCGTTATAGTTCAGTCCTCAAGTTGGGTGGACGTATCTTCATGTGTTTCATGTTGGTCATGTGCTTTATGGTAGACCCTCTCTCTCTCATCGGAGGAGGAGGGGGTGTGGTCAGTAATGGAGGCGTGTCCCACGGCTCCCAGAGGACCCTTAGCTCCATTGACAGTGAGGGAGAGGAGTTTAACTTTAGCTGGTGTCTGGTTTGGGGCCTCAGACTGTTCTTTGCTGGTCTGTGCTTTGGGTGGGTGTGGCTTCACTCTCTGCCAGCTGTTAATCCAGAGTGGGAGGGAGTGAGGTACTGGAGACTGAGGAAACAAGCAGAGAAAGATATTAAAAATGTAAAGCATTTAATGTTACTAAAATAGATACTGTTAATGGGTTGATGTTACTAAATATAGAACTGATGGTTATTGGTTATTAATGTAGGGTGATTTCTCGTCTGCTCAAGTTCATCTAGTGTCAGCTCTCACTGAAGTTGGCCTGTCCCTCCCCACCAGCTACACTGGGCTCACCCTATCACTATTATGGAATGGACTCTCTCACGTGCTCTTTCAAGTGTGTTACTATTTTTAGAACTAGTTCTTCCTCTTTTCAGTGTTACTATATTAAGTAACATGTTCTCATTCCTTTAGCTTTATGTTGGTCAGCTTTTGGTTGGTTTTGTATCTTTTGTGTTCTCTAAATTTAATAAAGTATCTTCAAGTCAACAAAAATGTCTACACATTGTTAAGAATGCTGACGTGGCAAAAACCAAACACCTCCTTCATCAAATAATACTCTCAGGTATTGTATTGTATTGTATTGTATTGTATTGTACTGTACTGTACTGTACTGTATTGTATTGTACTGTACTGTATTTATTTATTTATTTATTTATTGTTTGCAGGTTATGATGAGCGCTCCATGCACGGGTTAGGGTTCTATCTGGGGCTCACGGCTCTTAACTATGGAGAGGTGGAGAGAGAGAGTTTCTCTCGTGAGCAGTGGGCGGAGCTACTGTTTGTAATGGGAGTGCAGTGTCAATACTCGTGTGCCTGTATAGCCTCACTATTAGCAGTAAGGAGAACCATTATGATATGATTTATTAGTACATAATACATTATTATTATTATTATTATTATTATTATTATTATTATTATTATTGTTATTATTATTATTGTTATTATTATTGTAGCATTATTATTTCTTATGTGCTGGTAACATGAGTGGTCTGTTGTCATTCATCAATACGACTGATGGTTGGAATTACCTCATGAATAAAGACTGGCTGGCTGACGTACAGTCCGCCAATAAACTCTACAAAGGAGTGGCTGGTATGTGGGTGTGGTCATTGTACATTAATTATTATTAATTATTAGTGTTTCCTAAATATTCAATCACGCGAAGTTACTGCAAGTATCTGTTAACTGATGCTTATCAGGAGCTGCTAACACCCAGCGAGGACCCAGCCTCCCTTGTAGAAACAGAGAAGGTTTTTAAAACAGTTCTGGCTGTGACGAGACGTGCCAATGGACATCTACTGGAGGATATGAAGGTACTAATGAGTGGGCGTGGTCACTGATTTTTATTACTGTACATCAATTAGTTATTAATTGAAGATATACCAACGTTGAGTGATACTGCCTTGTCTCGTGGGTGTGGTTTTGAGTCTTTAATGTGGTGGGCGTCGGTCGGACTAGTATCCTGTTCCTGGAGGAGTGGGTCTAAAGGAGATGATCATTATCCCATTGTTGAAGATATTTCTAACGGGAGGTACTCCATTAATTATCATTATTATTATTATTATTCAACCATATCTCTCCTTCACAGTGGCCCTATTCCATCAGTATTACATTTATCATTCAAGGCTCAGAGGTTATACAATCACTCATCAGTGGCTCCTCCTTTAGCTGTCATTAATCAGTTGTGTTCCACTGCTAGTCAAGCACTCAAGATTTGTAGACAAGATCTCTCATCAGAAGATACCTTGAACCTTGTAATGATAACTGTTACACACACAGTCTTATGCTATGCTTATTCTGTTCTTGTGTAGTTTGGTCTCTTCCTTGCCTGCGACTGGCTCCTCGAGCTAAGGTACAAGGTGTGGAAGGATAATGCTAATAAAGAGGAGACTGACCCACTCCTAATGAGCTCCATAGTTAAAGGATACTCTCAAGACATTGAAGTCCTCAATGAACTAACTGTACACCTTCCACTGGCCTTTACTCAAGTAAGAACAGACACAGTGTTCAATAAATGATAATATTGTCCCTAGTTGAGGAGGTATAAAGGATATCAAAGACTAATTACTGGGGGTAACCCCCTCCTGGCTGATACCTTCCTCACCCCAGGGACTGTTCACAAGAGACTAGTGTCTACGTAACAGCTGGACTCATTATTATTATTATTATTATTATTAATTATACGAAGCTTTTCATGAACTATAAATACTCTGTTTATTATTGTTGTTGTTCTGTAGTATCAGTTTACACATTTAATAATAAAAATAATTAAGATTATATTAATTGATAATGGTGTTATTAATTGTGTGTAAACTAGTTGTTTTGTCACTAAACAATCTAGACAAAGCGTCCTGGGTTCCAATTACTGCCCTAATTAACTGATATCAATTAATTAATAATGACATTAGAACTATTACCCTATCAATCCAATTAATATCAGTAATATATCAAAGAAAAATTGAAATCGAGCAATGTTCCTATAAATAGAAACACATACAGAGGTGTTACTAAGCAACACGTACTTTCCAAATAGTTTAACATGAAAGACAGCAGGAAGAATGAAGGCAAGGAGAGTACAACAAGATGAGCCAACCAGAGCCATCAAAATGGAGAAATTAGGGATAAGCAGCACAATGATCCCAGTTACTAGAACCAATAGAATCCTCAGGATACACTAACAGGGAGGAACAGATCAGGAAATGTAATAAAATTGAGGAATTTTCTATATGTCAATTTCGGTCAAATTTCACAAAAATCCCTGTACTATAGTACAGGGACTTTTGTCCAATTTTGGAGCAAATTAAAAAAATCATAAAAAATCCAAACTTGATCGGAATCAGCTCAAACTTTCTACGCAACATAAGTACATGTATATGCATCAGAAAATGTAATAAAATTGACGAATTTTCTACTTGTCAATTTTGGTCAAATTTCACAAAAATCCCTGTACTATAGTACAGGGACTTTTGTCCAATTTTGGAGCAAATTAAAAAAATCATAAAAAATCCAAACTTGATCGAAATCCGCTCAAACTTTCTACACAACATAAGTACATGTATATGCATCAGAAAATGTAATAAAATTGACGAATTTTCTACTTGTCAATTTTGGTCAAATTTCACAAAAATCCCTGTACTATAGTACAGGGACTTTTGTCCAATTTTGGAGCAAATTAAAAAAATCATAAAAAATCCAAACTTGATCGGAATCAGCTCAAACTTTCTACGCAACATAAGTACATGTATATGCATCAGAAAATGTAATAAAATTGACGAATTTTCTACTTGTCAATTTTGGTCAAATTTCACAAAAATCCCTGTACTATAGTACAGGGACTTTTGTCCAATTTTGGAGCAAATTAAAAAAATCATAAAAAATCCAAACTTGATCGGAATCAGCTCAAACTTTCTACGCAACATAAGTACATGTATATGCATCAGAAAATGTAATAAAATTGACGAATTTTCTACTTGTCAATTTTGGTCAAATTTCACAAAAATCCCTGTACTATAGTACAGGGACTTTTGTCCAATTTTGGAGCAAATTAAAAAAATCATAAAAAATCCAAACTTGATCGAAATCCGCTCAAACTTTCTACACAGCATAAGTACATGTATATGCATCAGAAAATGTAATAAAGAGGCTGTCATTATTTAGTGGGATTACCCCAGAGAGGTAGCCAGTGAAGTGTGAGGGAGAGAATGAGACACAACTGATCCTTTTCTCTAGTATCTCAGATACAGGAAACATCATCACTATGGCAACCAGTAAATGTGATCATTAATTAGTTAAGTTACTTGGATAAGTGAAGAATAGAGAGAGACATAGACAAGACTTCACAATCAGAGGAAATGGACCTAATTAATTAATTAATTAATTAAATTATAGAGTATGAATATTAATTAGGCATGTACCAGGTGGAAGGTTTAGTGTTATAATACTCTGAGTATAAGGACCAAATGACTATTGAATAGTAATTATTAATAATAATGAATAATGCAGTATTCTAAAAATAGAACACTTACCAGGTACCCCATTACACCAAATACTATGTACAATAGTGTTACTAAAAATAGAACGAGCTTGAATATGCTACAATAAATTATTAATATATTCAGATTATAAAGTATTTTAAGAACCTTCTGAAAGTATTTCTATAATCTTTAATAACTGACTGCTCCAATGACAGGACCATACCCGCCCCCTACAGTAACGATTGACCTCATTAATGTTCATTGACTAATTAATATTCATTACCTCATAGCAATAAATAGCCACGCCCAAAAAAAATGGCAGACCATCAAGTGAAATTGACCTTACATGTGAACTAAAAATGGAATATTAATAATTAATAAATAATTAATTAATTATTAATCAATTACTCACTGGACAAGATGCAAATGCCTCAAGTCAAAGTAGAAGACTATGCTGTAAGCAAAGACGTTAGCAAAATCAGCAAACAAGCTAATGAAACATCAAATAATAATAAGACACTAAACCATTAATGACTGAACTAGCTCATTTCATTCACTCATTAGCACAAATGCTAACAACTGACAGCCTCTCCATTTCATAATGGAGTAGAAACAGTACGAGTTACCAAAGCAACAGTACGAGTTACTAAGGCAACAGTACGTGTTACCAAGGCAACAGTACGTGTTACCAAGGCAACAGTACGTGTTACCAAGGCAACAGTATTGTACCTGAAAGGTGCTAGAGCTGCCAAGTGTCTGAGATTACACAAGAAACACAACGGAACTAATAATAAAAATAAATAAATTAACCTAACAAATGAATAAATTAATATTGACTATATGAGTGATGAATACTTTGGTATACGAGGGAAGATGCTGTAGAAATTCTCTGAAATAAATATGAGGTAAGCACAATTGAATCCTGAGGACACAAAGAGTTACCAATGCAATCAATTAATTAATTAATTAATTATTGTATGTACCAATTTGTGATACAATAATTGAAAAGTCAACGACAACTTTACCAGCTGAACCGTAAGCAGCAAAACCTAATAATAATAATAATAATAATAATAATAATAATAATAATAATAATGATGATGATGATACCTAGTTCTCCATAGTCAATGTGAGTTATGCCAACTTTAGCTGGTGGGGGGAGTTCATCCTGTTCCTGTCGGCCATTTTTAATTATTAACACTCGCGATTCTTTTAGTATCTTATCTTTACAGTCGATCAAGAGGAGCATTGCCTTCACACTGCAACAGAACAATCACATGATCATCACATGACCTGCACTGTCGTTACCTTATCACACCAACCAATGACATCACTATAACACCTTCAATTAGACCAGCCTAACATCAATAGATAAACAATAAATAAAATATAAAATAAATAAATAAATAAAATTACTTCCATAAAAGCATAGGGTAGTCCCAGTATACCCGCTCCAATGAATGATATGAATATGTTTCCAAATATCTTAATACCACTGGATGTTCCTTCAGTATCTCCATGCATCATGGACCAACAGAACACAGACTGAAAGAAAGACAAGTTTACAAAATGGATGGGGCTTGAGTACTGGGTGGGGCTTGAGTAGTGAGTGGGTGGGGCTTGTACTTCTTGCAACCCACTCAAGTAATTAGTAGTAGGTGGAGCTTATAAACTCTCACACAACTGGAGAAGAAAAGAAGAAGTCATGTCTCTTCCTCGTAGCTCCAGTAAAACTGGAGTTGAGTATGACTTTTTATATCGTCGTCCTTCAGATATACGAACCTGCCAGTTTAGAGTGAGATCCTACAGTATTATTCTACAATGATACACATTCTCTTCTCTTTATTGTCTGCCACAGGAGTCCATTCTTGATATTGCTGCTTGCAAGAATGAGCAGCAGCTTAGACTAGCAGTTTGTAAAGGAGTGGAGGCTTGCTTTAAGAACCTGGTAAGCTCCCTATCCTTCTAATCATTATTATTATTCATTTTTTGCAGTATAAAATGGAAGCATTGATGTTCTTCAGTGATGAGATGCAGTACAAGACCAATGGAGATGAAGGCCCCTTAAAAAATCTTGCTACAACAGGAATACTGTGGTGATGATAACAAAAATTAGACTATTAATGATTATGTAATCTTAGATTGTGCATGTAGTCCAATATAAATGTTGCAATAATGAGACTAACAGCTTACCATGCCAGCAGCTAATGCTGTGTAGCATTGGATGCATCCATCACGTACACTTGCAGAGTTCTCATTATAATATCAGCTTAACTGAGCCTGTCACTATCAAAACACACTCTGAACACGTGAACGCACGTGACAGGAACATTGCAATGCAGTGTGTAGGTGGGTAAGAGTATAAATAGACCTGGTAGCAGGAGGTTATCCTTCACTAGCAGCTGCAACAGGAGGTTATCCTTCACTAGCAGCTGGTCAGTTTAGAGCCTGTGACTTGTATTGTGTTGTGGGTAGTACATTGCCAGGAATTCACAATATTATAGGTCCAGATATACTAAGATACACTGTATATTGACCTGGTGTTGTATTTTATAATAAATATATTGTGTTCTTATTTTATAGGACGACAGTCAGGGAGAGATCTATTAAAGCATATGATACAATATCTCCTGAAGATTCATTTTATTCTGTCATGGACGTGACTCCAGAGAGCATTGAGGATTCTATTGGTGAATTCAATGTTCCTTCATACCATGCACTCACATGCAGTGTTCATGTACCTGTGCAGCCAAAAAGAGGTTGCTGCAGTCATTACTGTTGCTTATTGCACATCTACTGGCAATGGGGGAAATTTTAAATAGGAAATACAAGAAAAATTATGATTTGCCCTACTAAAATTTGTGTCTATCTGGTATGTTTATTTTTTTTCCTGTTTTGGAATGCGGTGTTAAATTTGTGTTAAATGGTGCAATTGCTTCTTGCTAACGAGTGAATGATGTAAGTTTTCAGAATATCCTGTTGTGCTAGCTGTTTTTCATACCAGTTTACAGTTGATACATTTTACCTTTTCTGTCTTTCCGTTTATTAATTATTACCTTATGCTCACTGTCATTAATTAACAACACGTCATTCCAATAATCACTGTTTGCTCTCCCTGTAGTAATAGTTGATGCCATCAGTAATGTTGGTCAGATGAGAACTGTTGCCCTCATAATAGTAAGATTAATGGATTATGAATTACTGTATCTATTTGATATTCAGGCAATCTGCAGACAACCCATATCTGATGAAGAGACTGATAATTACCATTGGCTTTCCAAGAATGTCAGCATATTAATATTGGGATTATATTAATATTGGGATTATATTAATATTGGGATTATATTAATATTAGGGTTATATTAATATTAGGATTATATTAATATTAGGATTATATTAATATTGGGATTATATTAATATTGGGATTATATTAATATTTGGATGATTGTTATTTGTCATTGAATAGGTGCAAGTTGCAGCTGGTCGTATTCTGGAGTCCATCAAAGCTGAGAGGGAAAAGAAAAGAATGGAAGAAATGCTGAAACTCTCAGGTACATGTAATTGATTATTTATTTATTTATTTGTTTATCTATTTATTTATTTGTTTATTTATTTGTTTGTTTGTTTATTTATCTTTAGGGAGCCTTATTGATGTTGATGTCCCTATGTTGCTTCTTAAACTTCACTCTCATGTATGTACATGTACACTTGTCATTATATGCTATAGCCCCACCCATTAATAATAGATCAAGGAGATTATTGGTTGCAAACGCTGTGTTGTGTTTATTCTGGATGAAGAGACTGATGAGCTTGTTTGTGAAGTAATTAATAATAATGATATTTATTAATATTTATTAATTAATAGGTATTTGATGATGTTGCACTTGACTCTGAGATCAGGATACCAGTTAGTTATTAATAGTTATCAATAGTTATTAGTTATCAATAGTTATCAGTATTTAGTAGTTATTAATAGTTATTGATAAGTTATTAATTATAGATTCCAGATTGCATTTATGGTCAGTCCATCATGTCTGATAAGATCATTCAAATTGATGATGTTTCCAAGGTAACACAGTATTATTATTATTATTATTATTATTATTATTATTATTATTATTATTATTATTATTATTATTATTATTATTATTATTATTATTACTATAGGACCCTCATATCAAACCCAGTAAAGACTTTGTTAATGGTAACGTATTCTATTATTATTTGATATTAGCTCCACCCACAGGATATGAGCCTTCCAATTTGTTGTGCATTCCCCTCAAGAGCAAGAGGACCAGTGATGGTAATATAGCAATAGTTGGAGCAGCTGTTGTCTTTGATAAACCAGACGGGTAATGGGATTCACTTATACTGTGCATGATGTAGATTATGGCACTGTAGCTCAGACATTTTATGTGAACAGCTTATGAGTATCACCAAGCATTACCGGCTCTCTCTTTCTTCTGTAGTTTTACTCTTAAGAGCCAAGATGATCTTTCTTACATTCTCCAGTTTTGCTCCACCATGTTGGTCAACACTCTGACCTTTAGACATGAAATTGTTCTCAAGCATCAGAACCAGACACTCCTCGGTGTCTCCAAGAACCTTTTCACACAAATGAGTTAGTGAACATGTGTGTGATATTCATGTGATATTCATGTGATGTATTGTCTATACAGATGATCGTGACGTTCTTCTTCATTCCATTATGGAGGAAGCAAGGGATTTGACTAAAGCAGAAAAGTACACACCATGCAGCTGTACTTTAGTGTAGCCATTTTTACGAATAATTATTATTCTTAAGGTGCTCTTTGTTTCTTGTTGATAAGGAGAAGAAGGAGCTTTCAGCTGTTGTATTTGACAGTGAATTGCCTGATAATGTACACTGCATGTGTCTACAGATATTAATGTTTAATGGCTCCACCCCCTTTAGGTCTCTCGTTCCAGTATCCTTCGTATTCCAATGGGGCAGGGCATCGCTGGGTATGTGGCTCAGACTGGGGAAAGTGTCAATATTAGAGACGTGTACAGGAACCCACGCTTCTACAAGGAAATTGATAAAACTACTGGCTTTGTAACCAGGTACCTACTGTACTGTTATTATTATTATTATTGTCGTTGTTATTATTATTATTGTTGTTGTTGTTGTTGTTGTTGTTTTCTTTTATTTTTAGGAATTTGCTTTGCATTCCTATTATGGATCAGACTGGAGGTACATTGCAATAATTATTTATTTATTTATTTATTTGTTTGTTTATTTATTTTGCAGTTGTTGGCGTGGCTCAGCTTGTTAATAAAAAAGGAGGTGAGCCACACCCATCAATTAATTAAAGTTATTATTAATCAACAGGTCGCTTTTTCACTAAGTATGATGAAGAGCTGGCAATTAGTTTCTCAGTTTATTGTGGGATCAGCTTGCATCACGTACGTGTATACATGTACTTTAAGCATGTGATTATCATGTGATTATCATGTGATAGGCTATGCTGTATAAGAATGTGCGACTGGAACAATCCCGCAGCCAATTAGCTACTGAATTGATGCTGTATCACATGCAGGTACGTCTGATAATGTACTATCCTATGAACATGTACTGTATATGTTATACTGCCTGTTGTGTTTATTAGGTGAATGAAGAGGAGATACTGTCACTGGCTGATGCCCCTATACTTCCAACATTTAGCTTTCATATCAAAATAACAGATTTTGTTTTCTCTCCAAGAGTCATCCCTGAGCATGATTCACCCACTGTATGTCATTGTATTACATTTTCTGATGCATATACACGTACATGTACATGTACATGTACTGTGTAGAAAGTTTAAGCTGATTCTGACTTCAATTTTTCAAGTTATGGCCATTTTAATAAACGCTAAATTTCTGAAACAAACCCAAGGCTATATCTTAGGGTTTGTTTTTAAAATGGCTCCAAATGACCCCAAATTATTATCACATATTTTTATTTATTATTATTATTATCATTAATTGTACTTCCAGTGCATCATTAGTTTGATGGAAGATTTGGACTTATTGAACAGGTGGAAAATACCACGCAATGACCTCGCCAGGTAGGGGACAGTCACATGATAGCCATGTGATAGTTATACCTGCAGGTTTGTGATAATGGTCAAGAAGGGCTACAGGAATCCTCCTTACCATAACTGGATGCATGCCTTCTCTGTTGCTCACTTCTGCTATTCTCTCATCAAGAATTGTCCAAAGCTGAGGGACATGTTAACTGACTTGGAAGTACTGACTCTCTTTATCGGCTGCCTGTGCCATGACCTGGACCACAGGGGAACCAACAATGCCTTCCAAGAATCTTCAGTAATTATTATAATAATGATGATGATGATGATGATGAATATTGTATTTTAGAATTCACTCCTGGCATCCTTGTACAGCTCCCAGGGATCAGTGATGGAGGTAAGGGCTGGTACTAGTGGATTGGATTCTTTTACTTTCGTGTAGCATCATCATTTCTCTCAGACCATATGTATCCTCAACAGCAATGGCTGCCAAATCTTCAACAACTTGACATCTGATGTAAGGAACTAGCTGTTCACGTATCGATTAATAATTATTATTATTATTTATTATTAGGAATATCGTGAAGCTCTTGATCTGCTCTATGATGTTATTCTTGCTACTGATATTTGCACTCATCTTTCAATTGTCCCAAAACTGGAGGATCTGGTTGAAACAGGATATGACAAGTCAAACCAAACCCACCACCACCTCCTCCGCTCTCTCCTCATGACTGCCTCTGACCTCTGTGACTGTCTCAAGGAATGGGACATGACAGTTTGTGTATCAGTGAGTACTAGCAATCTAACTTTAATAATAATGACTTGTTCCTTATAGGAACTGATTTACCAGGAGTTCTTTTCTCAAGGGGACATTGTGAGTTATAATGATAATTATACTTTACTTTAAATCATTTACTGTAGGAGAAGGCCATTGGCAAGACCCCTAGTGTCATGATGGACAGAGATAAAGCTGTCCTCTCTGAACAGCAGCTTACCTTCCTTGATAATATAGCCATACCGGTCTATAGGTAATAGCTAATAACCACTGGCTATTAATTCATTACATACACGTCTGGGTAGGTTGCTTTTCCAGCTCCTCCCTGATGCTGAGCAAGCTTACAGAAGCGTTTTGTCTAATAGAGACAAGTGGCTTGAGTTTTAAGAAAAAGAAGGCACTTTCATGTTCTCAAGACCAACCCATCAATTATCAATAATCATCACAGTCTAGTGTATTAGTGTAGACTGGTAGTAGTTTTATCATTAATGTATCATCATGTATCATTATCAGTAGAGTATAGAGAACTGCTGGTTTAGTTTTGAACTTTATTTTACTGCTGTAGTGTTTCTCTTATTTTAGCTCATTTTTCTTTTAGAAGTTAGTTTTAAAATCATGTCCTTTTGTTACAAAACACAGATCAAAGGATTTTTGATAAAATAAAGAATAATAATAATAATAATGACATAATCAATAAAATAATAATAATAATAATAATAATAATAATAATAATAATAATAATAATAATAATAATAATAATAATAATAATAATAATAATAATAATAATAATAATAATAATGAGGCGATTTCCTACATCTCAACAAAACAAACTAACAATGAAGTCAATAATTATGGTCAGCTATAGAACAATAACAACAATAAACAACAACAAATTAAATAATTAACGAGTTGTTTATTATTCAGTTAATGAGTGGGTCACTAGTCGATACTGAACTGCTGAGGCTCCTCCCACTTCTCCCCTCCTCCTCCTCCTGACGTCCCTCCCCTTCCTGTCCTTCCTCTGATGGTATCAGTTCAGTTGATGAGTTCTGTGCCATTAGTTCAAATACCTCACCATTGGCACCAGTAGCAACTGCAGCTGGTTCTTCAGTTGAAGGAGGAACACTCAGCGACACAGTAACATTAGTCTATCATAATAGAATTATTATTATTATTATTATTATTATTATTATCATTATTATTATTATTATTATTATTATTATTAATTACCTGTCGGTGCAGTATACTTGATTTACATAAAGGACAGTTCCCTTTGCTCTCGAGCCACGGATCAATGCACTTCTTATGGAACTCATGACTATATGAGGTAATAATGACATGTAATTGTACATGTATGGAGAATTATATTAACAATAAAATTAATTTTTTGTCATAATTCTATCATCATCTGCAATACATGATCCACATATACACAACAGAATTGAGAATGGAAACAAGACAACATCATAACAGATGACGCTAAATCTACTGTACCTGCAGGGAAGTGGTCTGATGATGTCATTGTGTTTGAAATTTTCAAGACAAACAGCACAAGTTGGCTCATCACTTGAACTGATAGACGCTGAGTCAGCATCCTGTGCAATAGGAAATACGAGTAAACATAAAAATAAATAAATTAATAATTAAATTAAATATGAAATCATTTAAAATGTTCCTGGAAAGGAAAAGGGTTAGGAAGTACCTTGGATATTTTGTATTTTTTAGTCGGTAGAGCCGACATTGCTCTGGAAGTCTCTCTCCTTTGGCGTCTCTAAATAACAACAAGAGAAAAATAAAATTAATGAAGAATTATTTTCATTTTTGTTAAAATTTGGCAACAGGGACTTTGGTCTCATTTTCAAGCAACTTTAAAGATTTGTAAAATGTCCACATATGATCAGCATCCGCTCAAACTTTCTACACAACATAAGTACATGTATATGCATCAGAAAATGTAATAAAATTGAGGAATTTTCTACTTGTCAATTTTGGTGAAATTTCACAAAAATCCCTGTACTATAGTACGGGGACTTTCGTCCGATTTTGGAGCAACTTTAAAAAATCATAAAAAATCTAAACTTGATCGGAATCCACTCAAACTTTCTACACAACATAAGTACATGTATATGCATCAGAAAATGTAATAAAATTGACGAATTTTCTACTTGTCAATTTTGGTGAAATTTCACAAAAATCCCTGTACTATAGTACAGGGACTTTCGTCCAATTTTGGAGCAACTTAAAAAAATCATAAAAAATCTAAACTTGATCGGAATCCGCTCAAACTTTCTACACAACATAAGTACATGTATATGCATCAGAAAATGTAATAAAATTGACGAATTTTCTACTTGTCAATTTTGGTGAAATTTCACGAAAATCCCTGTACTATAGTACAGGGACTTTCGTCCGATTTTGGAGCAACTTTAAAAAATCATAAAAAATCTAAACTTGATCGGAATCCACTCAAACTTTCTACACAACATAAGTACATGTATATGCATCAGAAAATGTAATAAAATTGAGGAATTTTCTACTTGTCAATTTTTATGAAATTTCACAAAAATCCCTGTACTATAGTACAGGGACTTTCGTCTGATTTTGGAGTAACTTTAAAAAATCATAAAAAATCCAAACTTGATCGGAATCCGCTCAAACTTTCTACACAACATAAGTACATGTATATGTATCAGAAAATGTAATAAAATTGAGGAATTTTCTACTTGTCAATTTTTATGAAATTTCACAAAAATCCCTGTACTATAGTACAGGGATTTTTGTCTGATCTTGCTGCAACTTATTTATTATTATTATTATTATTATTATGATACATTCTTGTCATTCTGTTATTTTCACGCATTGTACAATTACAAAAGATGGTCATTCAATGCTATATACTGTATGCCTCTCTCTCTCTCTCTCTCTCTCTCTCTGTGTGAGTCAGTGCTACGTGTAGCAGTGAGAGTAAACAGTATCAGTACTGTCAGTACCATATTAGGATAAAGGAAGATGGGACATGCTGACAGTTGTGAAGAGAATAATTAAAACATAAAACAATATGTCATGCAATATTTACATACATCAATAGATAAGGTTACTATTAATAATAATAATAATAATAATAATAATAATAATAATAATAATAATAATAATAATAATAATAATAATAATAATAATAATAATAATAATAATAATAATAATAATAATAATAATAATAATAATAATAATAAATATGATTATTAATGACAGCACATGCACAGAACATGCTCTAACATCCTGTACTGTATTCATTGAGTCAATGAATAAATAATGGACTATTATGTAATAATGATCAATACAGTAGAGGTACATGTACTTGATGGGTTTGTATATCTAAGAGGGTAAAGTACCAACTGTCCTCTGATTCACATTATGATAATATTAAATTAATAGTCACATCTAACTTGTTAATGTCAACAGGATAGAGAGTTAGCTGCTAATGAGGTTAAAGCCAACCAGTTCAAGTGTACTTTAAGCTATTACTGTCAATATGAGCATGACAGACCACCAGCTGCTAATGCAAGGTGAGCCTGTCTAGTCTTTATGTGTGTGTGTGTATAGAAATGGAGGGAGATGGAGCAGCTGTGGTCATAGGAGTTGTGTACATTTACAAGTGTCCTTTCTAGTTTCTACTAAACCTCAAAACACTTTCAAATTCCTCCCTCTCTCTCTCTTACCCTTTGATATTTCCTGCTGAAGTGTTGATGACATCTTCTAATGTAAGTAATACTAAACCAGGTCAGTGAGAGGAGAACAAGGACAGAGAAAGCAAACACAACAAAATAGAATGTCTGAGAAGCATGAATGGAGCTTGTAACACTCCTAACCCTGAGAGTGACTGTAGCATTAGAAGATAACATGGTCTTATATTTAATCATGGTTGCATCCGGCACTTTTATGAAAGCTACTACAATATCCAAGCTTGTTGCTAAGTAGCTTGTAAGGCTGGACTTGGACTGTGGAGCATGGAAGAGGACGCCACTGGCTCCTAGATCTTGAGCAAATTTGGCCTGAGAATAATGGTCACATTCTCCTAGTCGAAGAACAAGAATGAAAGGAGCTGAGATATTGTGTGGAGAGTAGAGTGGGGACCGTTTTCTCTCTTGGATGCACGAGAGTGTGTTGAAAATATCTCCCGGTGCATAGAAGGACCCTCTAACAGGTGTACTGGTGAGGTTACTGTAGCCAGCAACCTGTCCTGTGAGAGTACGAGTATAGGCCTTGGAATCATCAGAGAAGGTCACTGAGGAGTAATAACTGATGGTCTGGTAGCCAGAAGTACTGGAGTAGCGGGCATTATTGTCATGTCTTAGAGATTTAGTGGACACAGTGGAGACCAGGAGAAAGAGGAGGAGGGAAAAGAAGAAGAGGAGAGAGTACATCGTGAACAACAAGACAAGACAAGACTGAGAATTGCTGAGCAAGAAACTTCTGTATAAACAAAATAGCAGGGTTAATTAATAATGCATATTTTTATAACTAGTAGCCCCACCTACCCCAAAAAAAGGTGAGAATTTTCACTGGATATTAGTGAATGGACGGAACACTTAAAATAACATATAAACTCGTCATTACACAATATGAGAAAAATAATAATAATGAATTACTACAGGGTGTAGATAGAAAACAGTTACTATTATTAGTAACGAGTCCATGATGTCACTGGTTACTATAAATAAACTGAGACTCAAGCTAACAAAATATAACGTAAGTAATGTCAGTTGACTTAGTGGCGTGGTTATGATGGGTGTGGCTTCACGACTTTATCAGACGAGCCTCCGTAAGGTTTAGGAGGGGGCGGGGCAGGACGACCGGGCGGGGCCATAGGTCCTTTAGAGGTGGGCGGGGCAGGGGGACCTCCTTTGACACGTTTCTGGCGAGGGGGAGGAACTGGAGGCGGGGCCTTTCCCACCTTATGAGCTAGTAATGGAGAACCTTGAGGACTCTTACGAGGACGAGACATAACATTAGGAGGAGGAACGGGAGAGCCCTGGGAGCCACGAGAGGTGGAGTCTACTGGTAACTGGGCGGAGTCAACTGGTGGGTTGGGCTTATCGCCATTAGTCTTTGGTTGTAGTTTAGGAGAATTAGAGACATTATAGGACCAGCTGGGAGGTTTCTTAGAGCGAGGGGGTCTCCGTACCTCCGGCTCAGGACTGGGGGCCCATTCCCGCGGGTTCCACTGCTCCTCTTCAGTGAACAGCAACCCATCAACTGCCCCGCCCTTTTTCTTACCATTACTTGCCTCATCAGTTTCTAAAACTGACAGTTCAGCGTCCAGTTCATCATCAGTGTCTGGTCTATAGTCCGATATCTTAATAGTAACAACCTCATTAGTAGAGGGTGTGTCAGTGGGCGGGGCTATCACCTCATACATTACGTCAGTCTGTACCTCATCTAAAGTTGCATATGGTGGTTCAGCATTGGCTCCAGTGCCAGCTGCAGTGCTTTCATCAAACTCCTTTAAATTGTTCAATAGATCCTCCATGCTGTTGGTAGACTTTAACAGCTCTTCAGTGGGTGTGGCTACTTTACCAGGCTCCTCCCACTTTACCGGATCCTCACACGTAAATGAAATTATTTCTTCAATTTTCTTTTCGTCTTCTTGTGAAGGTTTTGTATCAGTGGGCGGAGTCTCATCAGACTCATCGACACTAGCTTGCAGTTTAATGATGACGTCCAGTTTGGCAGCCTGTGCTGGGTGGGTGCTTGCAAAAGGAGGTGGGCGTGGTGGAGGGGGGCGCCTCTTGGGCCCTCCCTCCTTACCCACGGCTGCCCCGCCCCTTTTATAATTCATCTGAGGTGAAGGGGCGCTGGTTGGTTCGGGTGATTCAGGGGTGGGTGAAGGTGAAACAGGAGAGGATGTCCCCATTACCCTCGGCAGGTGAAGAGACCGTCCTCTTGAGGACTTTGGTTTGACCTTTACCTCCGGCTTTGACCTCTTCCCTTCTAATGGTTTATGGAGGGGCTCTGGTGAGTGGGTCTGGTCCTGCTCCTCCTCCTCATGTACTGTGAGGTTAGTGTATCCTTTTCCTCCCTTCTTCTTCTTGAAAGGATTCTTCTTATCAGAGGATGAGAGAGAGGAGGTGAAGTCAGGGGTACTGCCCCCAATCCTCTTCAGTTTTGAGAGAATGTTAGCTTGAGAAACATTACCTTCACTTGACTGACGTGAAGGAGGCTTAGCGGACTCTGGAATAAATAAATTAATTAATTAATAATATACCACAACTTTCAAGTAGATGTACCTTGTACAGTGTCTTCTTCTTCTGCTGCTCCTCCTGATTTCTTTCTCTTCAACACTTCTAACAGTTTCACTCCTTCATCTCTGCTCTGTATCTCCTCTACAAAGCTGGCAGGGAATGATCCTGTCTTATCTGCGATACGTCCCTCCCACCATCCATCACCTCCCTTCTCTATGATCTGAGGGAGAGAGAGAGAGAGGAAATCAAGTGATGAACACATTTAGTACACAATGACCATCATTACCTCAATGACATCTCCTTCATCAAAAGCTAAGTTACTATCATCACCTAAAGTGTCATACTCATAGAGTGCAACTGCTACTGGTCTGAATAATATTATTAATATTAGTATAAATATTATGATTAAAGTCTTACCCAGAGACGAAGGTCCAGTCCAGGTCGTATATCTTCATTCTACTTTTATTTCTTTCATCTTTTCTCTGAAGGCGTCTCTCCTCCTCAGTTGGTTCAGAACTAACAGACACAGTCACTGAACTCAATTTAATCAAACAACATGTACTCAACAGCCAACAGACAATGAGACATTTCCTGATACATGTACATGTACTTATGATACATAGAAAGTTTGAGCGGATTCCAATTTATACAAACTTTTAAAGTGGCTCTAATCAGCCCACATTAAATGCGTACATGTACATTGTACATGTAAGTAAACAGGTTATACTAACCGGTTAAACAAGAAGAAAGGCAGAGGACTCTTGGTATTAATGGTAGCAGAGTCTGATAGTTCAGACTGTCCCTGGATGAACTGTATATCAGCTAATGGTAGACCAGTCATCTTGGAGAGGTCCTGTTTAACATCATTAACTGTAGTACTCTCATGAACTGTTAGGCTTAGCTCAGTTCCTTTAGATACCTGCACATCAGTAGGAGGAGGAGGAGGAGGAGAGAGAGAGTGAGAGGGGATTAGGGTGGATTGGATTGATCAGTGTTAGTTATTAATGAATAGTTAATTAACTAGGGAGACACAAAAGGTATCTCCCTATCCAAAAAATGAGAAACAAAACAAAAGAAACAGAAAGGGTATCTATCTTCCAGAGACAGAGGGAGAGCCCATGAGATTATCATAGCAACGGGGCCTGGTTTATATAGTGGAATTATCAGGAAAAGGTATTGTGGGTCTCACAAAGCAACCTCATGAATATCATTATAACCATGGCAACAAGGAAGTGACCAATAAACACATCGAAACAATGAAATGTACATGTACATGTACAGTGTACAAATGTAAGTGTATGAGTCCATTTGTAACAGAAACTCGTCATTCAAAGTATAAGAATCAGCCTCATTCCAACATAAGCATACATGTATACATTATTATAATTAACTGCATGGTTGGTATTATTGTTTGTTGTTAAACTAACAGGAGACCTTGTTTGCTGTCTCCTTTCCAAAAAATACACCCAAAAATGGTTGCCACGACTTAGGCACCTTGCTGCCACTGGGTTATAGCCTCCTGCCTTTAAATACCCAAAAAACTGCACCAATCTATAGTGGGGCGCACCACAAAACAACAGGAAGTGGGATGTGAATATCATTAACATTTCTTTCAAATTAAAAGGAGACAGCACCTCCTGAAAGCAGCAGGTACTTCTCCCTCCAAAAAATTAGACAGACAGAACCACTTATTATTACTAATAAGTGGACCAACTACATAGTACTCGCCTAAGCTTAGAGACAGAGAGCGGGTAGTCTCCTTTATATACACCTGCAACCTGCTCATGGTCTCATGGGTCCACCTGTTGTGGTTTCACAAATATGTACTATGAATATCATTAACTGATACCAGCGTCTTGCTGGTGTACACACATACAGCAATAATGTCTTGTACCCATTCCCCATTAGCCATTAATCAGTAATCAATGATAGGAGGCATTTTAAATGACTCCTTCCAAAAAGTGTCTGTCATTCATTCTGTTACGAATTTTTAACCAAACAGCTATTGGGGCGAGGACCCATAGTTACCCTCCACAAAGGCTCAGTCTCTCTCTTATATAGTGCAATAACATGATGAGGGTATAATGGGGCGGAACAACCACAGAACTATGAATATTGTTAATGACAGGAAGTCCATATACTGCTGAGCTAATAAACACTTGATTAACACAATCTTAACACTGATACCAATAGACAATACACACATTCTTAACACATTATTAACTCACTGGTTGCTGTGTTTTCTGATCCACAGCTTCAGTAGTACACACTATACAATATATTTCAGTCCCTTTCTTAACGGGCTCTTGAGTGACGACTGGTACACTGGCCGCTGGTACACTGGTTGCTGGTACACTGGCCGCAGGTGCAGCGGTAGGAGGGAGGGGGGAGGAAGAGAGAGGAGGTACAGGAGAAACTTTCTTCCCATCAGACTCAACCTCGTCTTTATTGTTGTTACATTTCTTCTCACACTGTTCCACCATCACCTTGGCTGCATTCAGCAGTGCTGGGGTCTGTGTCCCTATGCTCCGTAATGAGGTAATGTCATTAGCTTTGGAACGACAGCCGTAAGCTAAAACATTATCTAACAGGGCAGAACAGAATGAATAGACCTAGAGAAATGAATAAATAAATTAATTAAATAATTGTGATAATTAAATATTAGTCAGGGTACATGTTACTGTGAATTACATCCCATAGTATGGACACATCTTACACAAACCATAATATCAATAGTAACCCACAAATTATTATATCAGAAACCACTAGAACCACATGTTCCATTCCATTCTCATATAATCCATTCAGTACATGTACATGTTATCTTATTACAGCTACTCCAATTAAAGCCCATAGTACAGTGGGTTGAATTCCATTGAGAATACACAATGATAACAAAAACAACAAACTATAATCTCTCCCTCCCTCTCTCTCTCTTCCAAAGGAATAGGTACTCATTCTCTAACAATAAACAGTAGCAGCTGTTTAGCATAAACTGGTAGAAAGTTATTAGTCTTCATAATCAATATTATTAATAGGAGACACAAACAGGTTGAAAACAACAAAAGAGCTTATGAAACATGAACCTGTCTACATGTACTGTACCTGCCACGGTTGAAATAATAATAATAATTGATTAATTAAACTGTACAGAAATAGATTAATGAAGTCTCATATTGGCAATAATGGCTGGTATAATGATCTAATTAATGAAATTATATATTTATTTGATACCAAACAAAGAACATTTAAGACTCAATAAGATGCTACTTCAATACATTAACACTTTCAGTAGATAACCCAACAAAGCACTGTTTAATGAAACAATAATAATAATAACAATAATAATATATTAATAATAATGATACTGTAACATGGCCAGCGGTGCATGATACAGCTGTGTTTACAATACATCAAAGAGACAAGGCCAATTAGACATTTTTGTAAAATATCATTAGTATATCAACAAATACACACACACACACATACACTGTACACTTACATGTACAAGTATTTTTAAATTATTGTCACAGCTGGAATGCATGAGGCTATGTATCAGTAGTAACTAAAAAATGTTTGTGTCACAAAACAGAATATTTCAATTGACCACTCCCACTCAATTACCTGAGCCCTCATTGGATACTTGCTATCAAACAGACTGTCCACGATATCCAGTAGGAGGCAGACCTTATCAGTAATGAGTATCATTGGTTCCAGTAGCTGCTCTCTTGAAGGAACTTTCTTATCCGAATGAGACGTCAAATCCTCTGCTCCACTCATCAGTCCCTTCACAGCAGCCGTTAACAACTCAGTAATATCCTTCACTTCAGGAGGTGCTCGCTGCGGCTCCATTTTTAATAAAAGAGAGTCCCTCTTTCCCTGGAGGTCCCACGTGAGTCTCTGTTCTTTATCGCTGACGGTTGGTTCCTCAGGACTAGCTTTACGAGTCTCTCTCCGCTGGTCTGAAGATGGTTTTACAATGGAGTCCATCACCTCTTCCAGTTCACCCTCTGGGCTTGATCGTCTGAGGACTGATATGTCCCTCGCCAGGTGCCACTTCTCAAGTACGTCAAGTCTTGACTCCACGTCTTTACGGCAGGCGGATAACTCACTGATGGCCCGTGAGTCCACACCTCGTGGGTTCTTGGCTATAACTTGAGCTGATTTGATGAAAGAGGCAAGAGAGGCTGTCGTTTGGGATGATATTGGATCAGGGACATCTTGTAGCAATCGTTTGACACCTTGTACCACTCGTGTCGTTAACTTAACGAGTTCTTCAGGTCGGCCCGAGGCCCCAATGAGTCCACCAAGATCATCTTTAATATCACAAAAAAGAGCAGATCTCTCCTTTGGCTCCATTGGGTTACTAACAGCAGCTGCTACTGGCGAGTCCACAGGTGGCAAAGTGTAATTGGTAAGAGTTATGTACTGGACTGGAGTGACTGTGGGTAGGAAGTTAGAGTATCAAGAATATCATTTTTTTAATATTTTTTACACATAATGTTCGTAAGTCTTTGTCAAACTCAGACAATCCCTGTCTTTATTAAATGTTGTTCTATTGCACTTTAATAAACAAACAACCTCAAAGAGAAACACCTTTTAACTCAACAACCCATCACTAAAAGTAATAACCTGACCCTCTCCCTCGCTCTCTCTTTCACTGATACACACACTCACCTCTTGATTCAGTGTAGAGAAGAACAGAACACAGTTAGAGGCGGTGGGATGAGATATAGCGGGTCCAGGACATACAGCTATAGACGATCAATGAGAGGAAGAGGATCAGTAACTGGAGGCTATCAGTCTCTTTCCTTCTCAGCTGCTACTGGCTCGGGCCAGGGGATCAAGAAAAGAATAATAACAAGAGAACAAGACCAGCCAGTGAGGAAGGAAGACCATACAACACATAGACTAGAGGAGGAGGAGCTAATGAATATTAATCATAACATTGGAATGGGTCAACTCCTGTAATTAACAGTCATTAGTAGTAATAATTATCTCCTCCACATCGATTCACTGGATTGGTAAGGTTACTATATCAATATATAGGAACAATCAGGTCTCCTTGTCTTCCGTTGAAGCAGTTTTCAGTGCCAGTGAATAGAAACTGCTAATATAACGCAGTCCCTTATCCATGGACACCATCTTAAACCACGTGGGTGCACGTGGTATACCGCATTAAATCTATTCCCGATAATTAGAAAGAGAAATCAAAATTGAGTTAAAATTGCTAAGAAAAATAAAATCTATTGTATACTACGACACTATTAATAATATATTTGATATAATCGTTGATACTGAATGAATCAGTATCACTGATTTCTCATCTCAAGTTTGACACATGTTTTGAATTCCGACCACATTCCTTCATGTTTAGTTTGTTTCATCTATAAAGGATAATAAAATTATTCTAATTAATGACCACTGAATTTATAGGATGGAGACCAATTATATATAACTATTATTATTTGTTTGCAAGCAGTAAATTGATGTAAAGTAATTGGAATTTAAAGAATGATTGGAATGCTTTCAACTATACCTTCATTCCCCTAACTTGCCAATTCTTCATCACCGATAAGAATTCCTTATAACTTAACTTCCCATCACCTGCAGCAACAAACAATTCAACAATCATCAATATTGCTGTTATTATTATTATGAATATTCTCAATAAAATACCCCCACTACCATCAGACAGGATTCCGTGGTGTAGCGGTTATCACGTGAGTCTAACACACTCAAGGTCCCCGGTTCGATCCCGGGCGGAATCACTTTTTGTTTTTTGGTAACTGACGTCATCTTTTTTTTTGTCAAATTGTCACAACAAATTTTGATATTTTTAGCACTTACCATCCACATCAAATATCTTAAAGACAGTATGAATAACGGCCTCATCCAGTGACTTCCCAATGGAGACACGAGCTGCTCGCCCAAACTCCTCCTCCGAGAGAGACTTACCAGCAATGTTGTACATCGTCATGGCAACAGCGAAATCATCAAGAGCATTCAGTAACTGACAGAAATCATCATACTGACTGAATGAAATACCCTGCAATGAATAATAATAATAAATACTCCATGATAAAATGAAATGTCCACAATGATGACAAGGTATCTTTTACTTGAGAAGAAGCAGTGTCATTCTTCAATCTTTCAAACACCTCCTGAAGGTCATAGCTCGTGTGTCTCAATAGTATCATTGCAAATTCCTCAGGAGTTATGGTCGGGCCTCCTAGTGAATATTTCTGGAAGTAATGACAGGGATTAAGGAATGATACAGAGTCAATGTCCCTAGACTGTACCAGCTAGGGTACCAGCCACACAGACTATAATATCAGAATAATTAATAATTATGAATATTGTAAAGAATAATGAAAGGATATCTCCATCTGTCTCACTTCAGTTTGTAAATTATCAATAAACCTGTATTAACAATAATTAATTTATTAATAATTATTAACTGACATGAAAAGATCATCAGATGCTAATTTCTTTCTTCCATCTCTTCCAAACATGTGAACAATCAAGCTACTAGTGGACACTGAACTGGATCTCTGGATAGCCTAACAATACAATAATAATAACAAGTAACAATCTACATAAGTACATGTATATGCATCAGAAAATATGATAAAAGTGAAAAATTCTCTACTTTTCATTTTTGGTGAAATTTGACAAAAATCTCTGTACTATAGTACAGGGACTTTTGTCCAATTTTAGAGCAACTTTAAAAAATCATAAAAAATAAAACTTGCTCGGAATCAGCTCAACTTCCCTACACTGCATAAGTACATGTATATGCATCAGAAAATGTAATAAAATTGAGGAATTTTCTACTTGTCAATTTTGGTGAAATTTGGCAAAAATCCCTGTACTATAGTACAGGGACTTTTGTCCGATTTTGGAGCAACTTTAAAAAATCATAAAAAATCTAAACTTGATCGGAATCAGCTCAAAATTTCTACACAACATAAGTACATGTATATGCATCAGAAAATGTAATAAAATTGAGGAATTTTCTACTTGACAATTTTGGTGAAATTTGGCCAAAATCCCTGTACTATAGTACAGGAACTTTTGTCCGATTTTGGAGCAACTTTAAAAAATCATAAAAAATCTAAACTTGATCGGAATCAGCTCAAACTTTCTACACAACATAAGTACATGTATATGCATCAGAAAATGTAATAAAATTGAGGAATTTTCTACTTGACAATTTTGGTGAAATTTGGCCAAAATCCCTGTACTATAGTACAGGGACTTTTGTCCGATTTTGGAGCAACTTTAAAAAATCATAAAAAATCTAAACTTGATCGGAATCAGCTCAAACTTTCTGCACAACATAAGTACATGTATATGCATCAGAAAATGTAATAAAATTGAGGAATTTTCGACTTGTCAATTTTGGTGAAATTTGGCAAAAATCCCTGTACTATAGTACAGGGACTTTTGTCCGATTTTGGAGCAACTTTAAAAAATCATAAAAAATCTAAACTTGATCGGAATCAGCTCAAACTTTCTACACAACATAAGTACATGTATATGCATCAGAAAATATAATAAAATTGATGAATTTTCGACTTGTCAATTTTGGTGAAATTTGGCCAAAATCCCTGTACTATAGTACAGGGACTTTTGTCTGATTTTGGAGCAACTTTAAAAAATCATAAAAAATCTAAACTTGATCGGAATCAGCTCAAACTTTCTGCACAACATAAGTACATGTATATGTATCAGAAAATGTAATAAAATTGAGGAATTTTCGACTTGTCAATTTTGGTGAAATTTGGCCAAAATCCCTGTACTATACAGACATGGGCTCAAGCACTAGGTAATGTGCTTAAACACAAACACAAGCACTTAAATGTGTTAGAAGTACCAGCACAAGCACAATCTCTAGCTTTAACATTAGTCCTTAAGTACAAGAACAAGCATTCTCCAGAGTGCTTAATTACATTAATAAGCACTAGATATTCAATAAGTATAAAAATAAAGTAAAATTACAATTATAGTTAATTTACTATTGCATCTAATAAACACTAACTCTGTGAATTGTTCATAATAAATTGAAACAGCAGAGAGCTTTGGAGTGACCACTAATGGTGATGCCATTACCATTCTTCAAGCTTACACACGATCACACAATGTGCTACTAAACTTGTATACTACATCTAAATGTACATGTAGTGGTACATGTACCACTACATGTACATGTACATATACATGTATTGGTACCATGTACATCTACATGTACATGGTACCAATACATGTACATCTACATGTACATGTAGATGTATTGGTACCATGTACATGTACATGTATTGGTACCATGTCGATGTAGATGTACCATGTACACTATTCGTGTGTAGTTTTTGCTGTGCTTAAAAGCACTTTTGTAAATTTGTAAAAGTAATTAAGTACAAGTACAAAGCACATAGATTATATTGAAAAGGTACTTGCAAGCAGCACTAAGTACTTAGAAAGCTGTGCTTATTTGTGCTTAAGTACAAGCACCAAGTGCTTGACCCCATGCCTGGTACTATAGTACACGGACTTTTGTACGATTTTGGAGCAACTTTAAAAAATCATAAAAAATCCAAATTTTATCGGAATCAGCTCAAACTTTCTACACAACATAAGTACTTGTATATGCATCAGAAAAAGTAATAAAATAGAGAATTCTCTACTTTTCATTAAAAAGTGTAAATATCAGTTAATTACTTTATTCTCACTTCTCCTGGTAATGCTCTTCTGCATCTAATTATAAAATAAAATAAAATCAAATATTAATTATTAATAATACACTCACTCTCTCAAATTCCTCCAGGTCAATGGTGCCACTCCCATCAACATCAATCATCTTAAATATCAACTCAAACTGTCTCCTCGGCTCTGATATGATGATGAAGATACACTAACATTATCAACATGATTATAACACTAGAACTAACTAATTAAAGAATTAATGAGAAATAGATAGTCAGGATATGTCAGAACACCTTCAGTATATTATAAAGGAGAGAGAGAGAGAGAGAGAGAGAGAGAGAGAGAGAGAGATGAAAGGTGATAAGGTTACAGTGTGGATGGTACCATTGTTCCAAAGGTCTCTGAAGGTACGAGATGATCCTCTTGATAATGAAGGAACTGACTTTAGAGCTTTTGACAATATCTACCAAACAATTGAAATTAAATAATTAATTAAATGTCTTACTCTATCGTCCATAACTTGAAAACCATGAGCTAGAGAAAAAGAGAGTTTTTAAAAGAATCAATTAAAGTTCTTTGCTCACATCTTGGCTCATCCTGAGTGATGCTCTCTAGGAAGTCCCTTGGTGTCATGAACATGTCTCCCTCGTACATCACTGAAGCAAAGTCCTTGTACCTCTTAACAGTCCGAGGAACTGACTACAAGCAGAAAACATTTAATAATAATTATTAATTATAGTCTACATGGACATGCATTGCTTACCACTTTCACTTCTCCTTTCTCTTCTTTTCCCTCGTCTGCTGTCGCCTGAGGCAGTAGGGAGGTCCTCTGATCACGTGATCTCAAGTACAGGTAGCCCCCACCACCAAACACCAGTGCCATAAGAGGCCCCACCCACTTCCCATCCTGAGGATGATAGGACAGTGAATAACGCGAGGTACTACCAGGTGACCCGCTGGCCCTTCTCCTCAATAAAAGAGAAATGGAGTGGAATAATCTCCTTCCTGTTTTATAGTAAGACATGTCCGCTATCAGTAGGTTTTCAATCCTTTTACTGGGCAGCCATCTTATTAGCTGGAGCCATCTTGAGCACGCAAAATCAAACAAAATGTCTTCAGATTACGGAAAGTATCACAAGAAAATTAGCCTTGTTCATGCACGGAGTAATGTAATACCAAGATTAGTAGATTACAGAAGAATCCAAACAAAATGACTGCCACTTACAAGTTGATAATGTTGAGTCTTGTTGTTGTGTTGATGGGTCCTGGTGCTATTGGAGGGGGAGAGGCGGAGCTGGAGCAAGCAGTACAAGAGTTTGAGGGAAAACAAAAAGAGAATACTGGCCAACTGCTTGAGCAAAAACAACAGGTGAATATTAATAGTAAATTATAGTTGAATTCATGTTAATTTCTTGTACTATTTTAAACGATATCAAAATGTAATTGGTCATGAATATTATTTAAGTTCTTAACGAGTCGAATTTTAACATTTAACTTTAATTAGTTGTTAATTGTTATCATTGGCTGTCATTAAAATGATAAACCACCAAACACTAACAATCCAAACCCTTTAACTGACCAACAGTATAAGAGAGAGACTGCCATTGTAACACAGGACAGGTAAAGAGAAGGAGAGCTGTCTCTTTAGAGATGGCTACTGCTATACCACTATTGTTATTTGTCCTTATTAATGGAGGTCTATCCTTTCAAAGCAGTTACAGTGGCATCAGTACTCATTCCAGAGTGACCCTCACTAAACTATCAAAGTCCATTACTGAAGGATTCTATTTTGACGCTGTCTCCAAAGAAGGACTCAAGTTCTCTACTCGCCATAATGAGGAACTTAGTGTAACCACGGCAACTGGACGAGCCCTAATTCGTGTGAGTCCGACTTTTAAAGTTGAAAGAATTGAAGAGGATGGAACCAAAGGTTTCATTGAAATTGGTTTAGCTCAGATAGCTGGACACTACTTTGTGAGAGAGAAGGACAGGGAGAAAGAGACAGACTATTACATTACATCAGCGGACGCCCTGTTGCTAAGCAACAGCATCCTCTCTCAGGTTACCATGGAAACACTGGATGTTAAAACCCTTGATTCATTGCTTGAAGGTGTCGATAAAACCGACCAATCACATCACAGCGAGGGGGCCAGTCGTGCAATATCATCATTATTATCAGACCAGAGTTACCCCCTCCTGGTAGACATGGTTCATTACATTGGTGAGAGGTTGGGACTCACTGGGGACAAGTACCCATCACTCCTGAGACTGTATCTAGTGGTCATGAACCTGGAGAGAGCAGCTGGTAAAGGAGCTAAACCACCTGAGCCTAAGACCAGTCTCTCCCGCTATTACGAGTCCTATATCCTCAGGGGGATATCCCTACCCTCCAGCCTGGAGTGCCTGAGGACCTGTCCTAACCCTTGTACTGATAACAGCTGTCTTGGTATGTGTGGTCCTGGCTGTACCTGCTGGAAGTTTGCTTGTGGTGACTGCTGCTATCACTATGGTTGCTTTAAGCATGACCTGGCCTGCAGGAACTGTGGCCTAAGGCATGTCAAGTGTATCCTAGGAGCACTGAAGGTGTATGCTGGTTGCAGGTCAAAGACTGTCCCTGAACTAAGTGATGCTTGTTAGACTGGGTTTAGAAGTTACGGCTTTTACAGCAAAATTTATAATCTTCAGTAATAATTATTATAACTATCAGTATTTGTTATTATCAAGTTTTGTAGCTAGCTTTTTCTAATCCTTTGATATTATCAAGAGTAAATAATACCGGCCTGGCCCTATTGAAGCCTACTGCAAGTGTGTGGATTTCTAGGAAGTCACGTTCTGCATACTTCAGTAGTTTTCAATCAATGTTTATACAGATGTGTTGTTATAACAACATTATCATTGATAATATACAGAAGTATCCTGAACGTGACTTCCTAGAAATCCACACACTTGCAGCAGCTGAGATGGGGCCGTTGGATACTCTCTGTAGTTATTATTTACTCTTGATATTATTAATTAATGTAATTATTTATAGTACACTAACTGTCCAGGCTTGTTGTGGCATTTCATAGGAACTTTGTTTGATTGGCTTCCATTAATTAATTAACCCTTTATTGTAATGACATCATCATGACATCATTATCCTCTACATAATGTACATTATTATTATTCTATTTAGAGCCCAGATAAGAACCCCCCAATATTAGAAGATGATTCCATTAAATCTCTTGATGATGAACCCGGAGACAGTGTTGCTGTCACTGGGTTTAAGTTTGGATTCTTCCATGCTTTCTTAGCGTCGATCTCAGTCATCATAGTCTCTGAGATTGGAGACAAGACCTTCTTTATAGCGGCCATATTGGCCATGACCAGCTCAAGACTGCTAGTGTTCACTGGTGCTTTATCAGCTCTGGCCTTCATGACCTTCCTCTCGGTTTGTTTAGGATATGCCACCGTCATCATACCAAGGTACCCTAATGGTGACTATCATACCTCTAATAGCAAGTGCTAAAATTAGTGCACTTTATTCATTATCATTACATTGCAGGTGGGTCACATTTTACATATGTACGCTCCTACTGGTCATATTTGGATTGAAGATGCTCTATGAAGGTTGGCACATGAAACCTGACGAGGGACTGGAGGAGTTTGAGGAAGTATCAGCGGAACTGAAGAGGAAAGAGGAACCAGTAAAGGGAGGGGCTGGGTACATGTACAGAACCAGAAATAGCAGAATGTAGTACCTGGCATTTTAGCAACTTTGAAAATTTGTTTTAAAAAATCTAATTTTGATTGGAATCAGCTCAAACTTTCTACGTAACATAAGTGCATGTATATGCATCAGAAAATGTAATAAAAATGGAGAATTCATCATCCTTTTCTTACAGGCTGCTACAGATCCAGAACAAGGAGTCTCCATAACAACCAAACCTCCATTCTACAGGAGACTCTACTTCTTGTCTTGTCTTCCTTCTATCATTCTAAAGTCTTTTGTGTTGACATTTCTAGCTGAGTGGGGAGACAGATCACAACTGACCACCATTGTACTATCAGCAAGAGAGGTACAACTACTCTAGTATTGTCATGTGTGGCACTTTGTTTTGTGCTTTAGTTTTCATAATAATGCAGTCAGTTTAGTGTCTGTTTTTAACTTGAAGCAATTGTTGCATGTACACCTACTGTTATTGTATATACAAGTACATTTACATGTACTTTATAGAAATTTTGTGTTTGTGTTTTTGATCTTCTTTGCTGATTAAATGATTTCAGTGTTTACGTATGATTGAGTAACTGATTGTGTTTATACTTCATGGCTGTGATGTAAATTGTTTAATTAATGTGTACTTCACTGACAACAGAGACAACACAATCTTATATTATTAATCACAACTTCCTCTTTCATTCAGGATCCTTTTGGTGTCATCATTGGAGGGACCTTGGGTCACGCTCTTTGCACAGCCCTAGCTGTTTTAGGTGGTAAGATAATAGCACAGAGAATATCAGTTAGAACAGGTACGTCCCTTCTTTTTTAAGCATCGTCATTATTTTGTTCTAAATTTAGTAACATTAATTGGAGGCGTGGTCTTCCTATTATTTGCAGTCACTGCATTTTTACATAACCCGGAATCTGAAGTCTCATAGGGATTTTTCAAATTATTTGAGTTGATGTGAAATTACTTGATTTTATTATTAATTTTATAAACACCACAACCTCTTACTCCTTCTCTACTAGCACTCTCCCTCATTACTTGACGTTGCCATCCTTCAATGACTTACTTTGTTCATTATTATATTGATGATAATTCACACTTCTTTCAGACTTACATATAATGTACTTTATTATTAATGAATTATTCTGCAGCAGATACAGAGCAGTAAATCTTTGCATTTTTGGACTATCTGGTATTTGTCATGCAGCAGTTATTCTTTTTCAGTATAACCTTTAGTCTTTACTGTCTAAAGCACTGCACTACTACTCCAGGATGTGAGTTCACTCTATCGCATACTTCAAACCATAAGGAGTGGCATAATTATTATCTTTAATTTGGTTTACTAAAAACACACTGCAACATGGACTCTCTTGATGACGATCAGGTCTTGTCTGCGAATGAAAACTTTACCATCAGTCCCTCCATTAGCGGCCCAGCTATTGCTTTCTTTCTCTCGCTGGAAATGGGTATCTCCCTGGCTATAAACTCCACCATTCTTGGCATCATATTCTTACATCCAAAGCCCCGCTCCCTTATCAAGGCTCCTTCCAATATATACCTGACCAGTATGCTACTCGTCAACCTCCTGGCTACTCTGACCGTTATGCCGATGATCATCATAGCCTCGGCAAGCGGTGAATGGATATTCGGAGGTACTCTGGAGGAAAAGGTATCTTCTTGTAGGTTTGCTGGCTACATGTACTGGTATGTTATATTTCTATTGATTGTCACTCTCGCTATAATCTCAGTCGATCGTTGGATGTTTATTGTCAAAAGTACCCTTTACAAGAAGATGATGACTACCCCTGTTGCAATAGGAGTCGTTATTACTGCCTGGTTGCTGACTGCTGTCTTGAACACAACTCCTCTCTATGGGTTTGGGATGTTCGCCTATTCCTCTAGCCCAGGGTCTTGTTTCCCAGTCTGGAAAGATCAAAAAGCTTATTTAGCGTTTTTCGTTCTCGTGTTCCTGATCTTGATATCAATCATTGCTGCTAGCTCCATTTGGACGTTTTGCTTTTCCAGACGCTTCATTAGACGAATGAGTTTAAGAAACATTGACGCCAGTGGAGAGGCGGCCAGCGTATATACATTTAGATGGAGGAAGCTGATTGGTATATTTGGAACACTCTCTATAGTTTATGTTGTATGCTTCACACCATCACTGCTCTATCTACTGATAAGACTTGCTACTCCTATTCCATTACAAATACTACCAGCAATCCTCATCTTCTTTCTCCTCATTACTATTCTTAATCCACTGGTTCAAATCTTCTTCAGGCGAGACATTAAGAATGTAATATTGGATTTCCTGGCCAAGACACCTTGTTATACCAAAGAAGAGGTGGACTATGAGCACAGGTCAAGAACACGCTCCAACTTTGAGCTACAGCATGCTCTCTCCTTAACTGCAATGGGTAAAGATGTTGCTAATGGAGGGAGTGCTCTTGATGTCAGTCCTGATGAAGGACATAGCAGTGACCCCAAAAGCTCAGGGAAGGTGGTTGTGAAATTTGAAGATAGTGAGTCAGTTCCTGTACAAGCCAATGGTGCTACTAGTGTTGGTGGTGATGCTACCAATGATAGTGCTAGCAGTGAATCAGTGAGTAATGGTGTCTCTAAGACTAATGGTGGGGATATTCTTGGTAGTACTGCTGTTTGATTGCTGTGTGTCCCAATGTCTCTTCCTTTACTGTTATTGTTAAACAGAAGCCATACTAATGTATCTCTCTTCCCCTCTATCTCTCACTATTCACTTTCTTCTTCCTCCTCTATCTCTCTCATTGTGTGTCTTCTTCATCCAGCTTATACCTCCTTACATTTTTATATTATTTACTGTAATCATTTGGTTATCCTTTATAATAAATTAAAGAATTCAATTGTTGTCATTACCAGTTGCTTTTCCTGCTGTCTTAATGGTGCAAAATGTTTAATTTGATTATTAGTGTTACTGTGCAGCATATTGCTTTATTGCTCAATACAATGAATTAATTAATAATCACTTCTAAAGCCACACCTATCTCATTAGATACCACGTGATTTCCGTATACTTAAAAGTCAGTATTTTTTATAATTTACGGAAACCACGTGGTATTTACTTAAGTTCTCATATTGATCCTTTCAGGTAATCCGTCATGTGTGGCATATAATGTACACTGTATAGGTATACAGGAGTGATGGTATCTGTAATATCCAATGGATTGCTCTGATACCATATAAGGTAATGTGAAACTGTATCAATTATTAATTATTAATGAGGCACACCCACCCACTGCACTGTGTGTGTGTGTATATATATATAGTTAAGTTGTTGCTCATGCACTTAGCTGTAAGATATGGATTATGAAGATGATGAAACGTTGTTCATTTTGGAAGAGAATTACAACTTTACACTGAACCCTCTCATCAATGGTCCTGCACTAGCCAGTATTGTGGGCCTGGAGCTGTTTGCTGGCTTCATCACTAATTCCTTATTGCTTGCACTAACTGTCTTTCAGTGGAAGAACTGGAAACTGCCTTCAACAGTATTCCTTACTAACCTGTTGCTCTGTAACCTACTGCTGGTACTACTAGTGATGCCATTCACCATTATTACAGGAGCTACTGGTGAGTGGGTTTTTGGGAGGAATCCTGTAGAAAAGAGAACAGTCTGTAGGATAATTGCATTCATCTTCTGGTATGGTATTACTGTGTTCACATTTGGACTAGTCATATTGTCATTTGATCGGTTCTTTTATGTTGTAAAAGCAGTTGCTTACAAGAACAGAATGACCATTAAGAAAGCTGTCACCATTGTGATAGCCACATGGGTTGCAGGAGGTGCATTGAATATAACTCCATTCTTTGGTATGGGGAAATATTCATTCATTGCTTGCTGTGGAGTTTGTGTTCCAAGATGGGCTGGAGAACCGGAGTATATTGTGTATATACTAATAATATATGTCACTTGTATTCTGAGCATTGTTGTTACCTCAATTTGGACCTGTATCTTCACAAGAAGGTTTCTTGGGAAAGATGAGCGACGGACCCGATTTGTATCTCAAAACACTAGAAGTCATCTTTATGCAACTAAAAATCAAAGGCTTCTCGGGTTATTTGGAATGACAGTTCTTGTACATCTCCTGTGCTATCTTCCTGGGATATCTTCATCATTCCTTGAGCTGTTCATTCCAGTACCAGTACAACTGTACACTACAATGTATGTTGCATTCTTAATGGCTGCTACACTTGGACCATTAGTCCAGTCTTTCTTCAGGAGGGACATCAGGGAGACATTGAGCCAGTTATGTGGTGAAAAATTTAAAGTGTTTGCAGTCAATAGATCATTCATTAGTAGCAGTAGCATTAAAGTAAACACTAACTCAACTTGCCTTTGAGTCTGGCCATATTGTTTTATTTCCATGCTATTTGTTTTTCAAAAAACAGTTAATGTATCAATTACTTACTATTGTTTTCATTTATTGTATTCAATTTCACATTGTTATGTACACACAGTTTTACTGTATAAGGACTTGTTTGTATTTATAGTTGCATTAAGAAACAAAACTTTGGTGCTGACAGTTAATAATTGAAGAGCAACAATAGCAAACAATATTTCAATTAACAGTCATGATAAGTAGCTTTATACTCCTCCACAATTTGTCATCCCATTGACTAAACATGATACAGATCATTAAAAACATGCACAATATACAGGACAACTATTGTGCTCATGACTATAATAGCATGAAATATGTAAGCATAAATGGATATCTATGTAACTATATTGATGAAGTTGATGTGATTCTAGTGTTAGTGTCACAAATGTAGCTTCCTGATGAATTGGGTGTCATAGCTCTTGATCTCTTTTTACGTATTTTTAACAGTCCAATTCTAACGCACCAGCTGTATATTATATTCCTTACTTCATACCTGAAGTAGACCTGAGCCAGTGGAATGAGGATTGTAGCCATAAACATTAGGACACAAGTAGCTGCATAAAGTTGATGGGGTAGGACAAGGAAAGGTCCAATCAGAGCAACTGCTGAGAAAAGAAAATAACAAACAATATGAGCAATAATGAGTGCTCCAAACAGCCCAATGAGTTTCCTTCTCTGAGTGATGTAAACACTGTCTCTGCAGTTCTTCCTAGTGTTCCTGTCCTTGAGATACTTCTTTGTATAACAGAAGGTCCAAGTTGAGGTTATTACAATGCTACCGATAAAAGTGAGTGTCATTAATAACATGTATATAGCAAGGCCTGGTTCTTTGTCAAAGGTAGGTATGCAGAAACCAAAACTGC